GCTCCTTCCAGTGTGCAGAAAAGGGTGGCAGTGGGGCTGAGAGAGAGGAGACAGAACTATGAGGAAAATAATGAACAAGGACTATAAGATGAATTAAGAAAGATTACATCCTTCCTTCCTTCTTTCGTTCCTTCCTTCAGAACAGCTACAGGGAAATACTTGAGGTAAGCTCTGCAAGGGGGAGGGGGGCAAAATGAACCACAGTCAGATGCTAGAGGGCCATCACTACCAAAGGAGGAAATGTATTTTTAGCAGTTACTATACACAGAATATGGAAAAAAAGATGATAGATGATAGACGACATCAGAATAGTTTATTGTTCTCCTCATTCTGCATTTGGCATCTGAGATCTAATCTGAATGTAAGGAAATGTATATATCAGGGGTCGGCAACCTCTACTGACGCGGCAGGTAAACAAACTGTCCTGGCCCGCCAGATTGCTTACCCTGGCAAGTCGCGTGCCAGAGGTTGCCGACCCCTGGTGTATATATATATATATATGTTGTGGATTTTATCTTGAAGGGCCATCCTGATGACAAAAATATTTCAAGGCCATATTGTCAACTATGCTGTAAGACAAGAATTTCACCCTATCTCAACCCAGAAAAATGTAGCATTATTCCTTCCCTTTGACATAATGGACCAGGCAAAGTAGAGGGTCCAGGCCACCTTTTAGATTGAGCCATAAAGCTCTCCAAGATGGCGGCTACAGTGGTGGAAAATGGTTGCAACTTCTCTGTGAGCAGACCTGCAAGTGGCATTGGTACAGGAGGGAGTACGTTCAGGATACCCAGGCATCTACTTATCCAGTACATTGCCACAGAGGCCTCTACTTGCAGGTCTCCTGTGGATCTTCTGGTGGGGATTAAAGCTGTCCTCCCCAGTTGTAAACCCCAAGTTAGGGCAGTAGTAGAAACAGCACCTGCCTACTGCAAGTTAGATGGGTGAAGTCTAGTGTAAGAAAGCATCATTTAACAAAAATGGTGAATCTAGTTCAATGTGTCCAGTCTCTTAATTCTTTATCTACACTGAGTACTCACTTAAACAATTATTCACTATGTAAACTAGCCTCTTCTCAAATTGATCAACCTAAATACACTCTGCAATGTCATACCAGCGTGAAGTGTGAGAATGAGGCATGCAGCACTTGCAACCGTCACAAGAAAATAACCAATTTCTTTTCTACTTCTGTAAATCAGGGTATAGCAAATCTTGTGTAACAGGAATAATGTTCACGGCATTGGAATACACTAAATAAACGACTTTTGCAGT